CCGAAGACCTTCATACTTGGATTAATGTCATGGAAACACAAATAAAATGGAACTGAATGGTTGTTACATTTCAAGAGCTGCACTGCTTTGTTTCTTGTGCCATATTCAAGAATACTGAAACCTGAAGAAGGGCCAGGTGTTATGCAAGAAATGCCAAAAAGAGAGGTTATTCTCCCTTAACCTTTCTCTGTTTGGCTTGTGCAGGCCTCTTCCCCCACTTTCACCTTTGACCCTTATTCTGATTTTTGTTGGTAGTTTAATATCTAAGGGGCTGCCACAAAAGAGGTCAACTTATTCCCCAACATACCTGAAGGCAGGACAAGAAGCAATAGATACTAATTAAGGAGAGATCCAACTTAGAACTAAGGAGAAATTTCCTGATATAACAATTAACCAGTGGAACGACTTGGCACCAGAAATTATGGCTATTCCAACACTGGAGGTTTTTAAGAAAAGATTGGACAGCCATTGTCTGAAATGGTATAGGGTCTCCTGCTTAAGCAGTGGTGTTAGATTGGAAGTTTTCCAAGGTCCCTTCCAACTGTATTATTCTGTTATTCCACTTCTACCTGCCATGGAAGCTACCACAATAGATAACCATCCTGGGACCATCGACCACGAGAGGAAAGTATTGGGCTCATCAGTTGAGAATCTCATGAAGTTGAACAGCCCGATTCCTCCTATGCAGCCTGAAAGTCAAAAAGGGAAGTAGGTCAAGAATTGAGGTCTGTAAAAGTTGGACCTCAAAGTGGTTAGTTTATTCCTAGATAGTCAGGATTTTGACCTTTTTGATTGGCCACAATAATCATGATTACCAAAACTCGACATGGAAAGGGGAAACAGCAGGAGTGTAACCTGGGATAAAAGATGATTGTGGTTCAACTTTTTGGCCAGCTAATACCATTTTCAGTTTTGAGTCTCCCATTAACACTCCCATCATAATTACATGTCTTCTGTTCACAGTGTTTTCCCTTAGTTGTTGGGGCGGATATGATTTCTTTCACATGTTTTTTGTTTGCTGATTTTTGAACAGCTGCAAATATCCATGATTTCCAATAATTTGGTTCACCTGCTAAACCCAAATCAAACATCACCAATGCAATTGAGGATGTGAATTCAGCTTAGTGAGATCTATCTATGACTGCAGCTCTTTGAAAGGAGGGAATTGAGTCTTCAGGTTCTGAATTTGTGCAATACTGTCTTCCCTCCTTTGAGTTCCATCTTTCTGCAACATTTGGGAAATGAAACTCGTGTGTGTGGTGGTGTTTTTCTTACCTGAAAAGAAACTCAGAGTGATGGCTAAATCAGAGTGGGAGAGCTTCTCTGATGTCTCAGTGGCAGCGAGCGAACGTGTGCCATAGATCACGGACCCATAGCAAGCTATAGCAGAGATCAGCATTAAAACAATGGAGATGGTAATATAGACTAGGAGAAAAAGAGGAAGCAAGTTGTGTAAAGTCAATCTAGAATCGGCTTCTAGAATCACCACAGGTAGCCCTGCAGCTTTCAATCTGATTAATAGAGTAATGGAGTTGGAAGAAATATTGGGGGTCCTGTTCAAGTAGGAGACCCAATACTATTCCAGATAAATGGTTGTCCAGATTCTTTTAAAAACCTACAGTGATGGAACACCCACAACATTTGTTCCTTTAGCTTATAACCTGAGCATCAATTTACTTCCTCCTGCCTGCAGAAACGCTGCAGATTTCTAGGCCAAATAGAAATCTTATTTGGAAGTTTTTTAAGGAAATACTGGATGATTACTGGTGCTGTTTTGAAAGCTTCCCAGAAGAGAATATGTATAGTGAAGTGTTGCTGCGACTGGGAAGATTCGGATTCAAGTCCCCACAGGGCATTCTGATGATGAAATGTAGTTTCAGAGGTCATAATGCTGAAGCTGTGATTTGTGTATTTGTATCAGGCAGGACGTAAAGATGGGGATTGTGCCATGTCACCACATCTGTATCATTTGGAAGTAATCTCAGTTTGCTGTTAACATATCTGGTTTAAAAATAGGCACTTACAGAACAGAGTCAGTTAGACACCAGTGAAAGTTGCAGAATGAATTCCTAATGCTTCCTTACTTGAATGTTAACAATTAACCAGCAGATGGAGATAAAGACTCATGGAGAAGTAGGCAGGACTATAAATATTGTATGAACTGATCATCATCAAGTTTAGAATTTTAAGAACAAACTTACTGGGTTTATGGCTCACCTTTTCTAGTAAACCCAAATTTAAAAAAAAGGGAACACCCCCCCCCCCAGTTTATGCCCCAGCAAACTAAACGTGTAGATCTTTATTGTGTTCCTTATTTGGAATGTCAAAAGAACTGATTGCTATATGATTACACATAGGTGTATCCCTTAAAACAATTGCAAGATTGGCCCAGAGATTTACCAGGCGGGCATGTGACTGGCATAATAGGTTGTAGTTGGCACCTTCTGCCTACCTGTTCAGTAGGTCTACTTTGAAAACTTACTGTACTATTTATATTCTTCAGAGTTCATCCAAGATAGAAAGAAATATTCTTGTTTAGAAAACAAGGAGAGGTGCAGTTAGATCACCTTCCATATTCCTTCAGTGTTCTAGCATTATTTTTTTTATCAGAACCTGGCAGGCTTGAGCCTCCCTATTGCAAATGCAGTGTGTCTAATGATGGAGGAACCAGAAGCTGCAGGCTATAAACATGAGATTAAGGTTGTGGCAGCTGTGCCTCTATACTAGAGTCTAGCAACATGTTGAAAAAGCAGGGACTGCATAAATTTTTGTTTAAAAGTTCTTATTCTGAGAAGAAGGCAGCTTGGATAATCGGATTCCACTTCTGATATTGAACAAAGGAAGCGCCTACATTTTGTTCATGCTCCCCACAGCCATATCTGATTGCATCTAATTCCTGATTTTTACTTATATTTATTGTGATTTTCTGCCATCTTTTCTCTAAGTAAAAGGTGGTAGGTGTCTTTGAAGAGAGGGAACAATTCTCATTATATCCCTAAAACAACAATTCTTTAAGGTAGAGAGGATTGAAAAAGATTGATGAGACCACTGTTGCCCACTAAACTCCATTTTTACAGAGAAGCATGAGCCTGGATCTGTGCGGTAGGTCCAACGCTTTTACCGTTATTATAATTAGTCCTCGACTTATGACCATTTAGCGACCATTCAACAATATAATAGTGAAAAAGGTGATTTAACAACTGTCATAACGTCCCATGGTCACCTGGTCAAAATTCTGTCACTTGGCAACTAGCATGTATTTATGATGGTCTCAGTGTCACAGGATCACACAATGGCCATTGGCCACCTTCTCCAGGGGTTTTCCCAAGAAGCAAAGTCAATGGGAGAAGCTAGATTTGGTTAGCAACCAAGTGATTCGCTTAACAACCATGGGAAATAGGTCCTAAAATAAGGTGTAACTCACTGAACAGCTGCATCACTTAGCGATAGAACTTCTCATCCCTATTTGGGTTGTAAGTTTAGAATTACCTATACATTTATTTATGAGATGTATCTGCCACCTCTGTCCAAACAAACAATCAGTTGGATTAGTTGCTCTGGAGCTATTCTCCCCCACCCTGCCCCCAATCTTTTATCACCAGCAAACTCCTCCTAGAAAATCTGGAGGTTATCTCAAGTGATTTATTAAACATGGAGTGGCTGGGTTAATGGAGTCATGACCATTTGGTTGGCTACACATTCTTTTTGTAGAGCATGCTAGCTCTGAGGCAGGCTGGCATCTCTGCCTTTCCCACTGCTGAGTGAAAGAATGATGGCCGATGGGGGAGCGGTCCAGAGAGGAAAAGGGGCAGAGGGCCTGCTCAAACCAAGTAGTGGCGCAACCTGGACTTCTTTAGCGCAACACAAGTTCTGAAGATTCCATAGCTCTTACATGGTATTTCTTCCAGAAGGGAACAATGCCCTAGCTGGCAGTCTGTCCATAATCCCTGGAAGACAAAGATGCCCCGGACAAATCTTTTGACCCAGTACTCCGTGCAGATAGCTATCATCAACAGACAAGTAGCTACACAAGAGAAGAAGATCCCACTCAGGCGGACCCAGTCATAGACCTTCAAGTTCTTGAACCACACAATGATGGGCCAGTTGGAAAGGGTCTCCTTGTAGCGGTTCATAATGATGGGTCAACGGAAGGATCGAGACCGAATGCACTCTCTTCTGAACTTCGGGACGTACTGCCTTGTGGATGAACCGTATAGAACCTACATCCCCAAAGGAACGACTATGTCTTTTAGATTACAAAGTTTTCACTTGGAACCTTTCTTCAGAAATGTACCGTAGTAAAGCAAGACAAGGTTTCCATAGTAACCCCAGTGTTCTGGAAGTTCTGAAGAAGCTTGGTTAGTGTGTTCCTTCCATTGGACGTAGGCCCAGCGTGGGCATCTATGGCTATGGCTGCTTTGCCGCAATGACACCCGCATTGCTCTATGGCGTTGCAAGCTTACCCCTTTCGGATGTGCATGCAATGTAAAGATGCATCATGGTGGTGGGTCTTCCCCATATGCAGTGCTGCTCTTGTCTGATGGACGTGTTTGATCCCTCCAGGGGGCACTATGGAAGCCCAGTAAAATGGCCAGAAAACTCTGCAGCTCTGGATTAGCAGAAGAGAGAGTCATTTCTACTGCAGCACAGTGCATTTTTGTGTGATTGCTTTATTTCCTGCAGACTGATTCCTTTATTACCTACATACTTTGCACTGGTAATGATTAAATCAGAAGAAAAGCTTCTGGTATTCCTTTATTTGTTTACAAGGAAATCTCGCACAATTCATTGCTGCTTATTTACTCCCATGGATTCGAAAGCAGAATTCTAAGCCGCTAAAGGAAACTCTTCCGCACTATTTTTTGCTATGGGTTGTCCCAATGGGTAATAAAGGCAGAACTTGAACAGAGGCATTATTTAATTCAAGGTACCCAAACAACATCCAAAGTCAATCTTATGCAACCTGAACATGGCTATTGTAATAATTCTGTTTTTAAAAAAATAATCATAAATCAGAATTACATTGGAATGGAGTAATTTGCAGATGAAATGATTGGATATTTCTTGAAAAGTGAGTGAACAAAGGATAATTCCAGAAGGACTAGTGAAGCAATCTTGATTTTGAAATACTAAAGAGGATTTGCATGGTACTAAGAGCAATGTTTCTCAATCTTAACAACTTTAAGAGTTCAACTCCCAGAATTCCCTAGAAGATAAGTAGAGCCTCACCACCCTGCCGAGCTGAAGATCAGGAGAAATAAATCCTTTCAGATTAACAGAGGCCTAGCAGACCTCTTAAAAGCCACTGGTAATTTTGCCACCTGAAATCACAATTTTGCCAAATATTTTGGTAGCATAGTCTAAGGGGCAGAGTGAGCTTTGGGGGCTGCAAATATAGGACCTGATTATAGAAGATTGCCCTAGGGCATGCTCCAGAACCATTCTCGAAACACACTTGATAGGCCATAGGTCAGCGTTTCACAACCTTAATCACTTTAAAATATGTGGACTTCAAATCCCAGAAACATTGCCATAAGTGATACTCAGAGCCTTACTTGGCAAGCAAGCTAATTATCAAAATTATTCCTATTTACCAAAATTTCTATAAAACACAAGATAATAGTTTTGGAAAGTGAGCAAAAAAAAAGTATAGCTGAGCAATGCCCTGGAGATGGGGAGTTGCACTGGTACAGGGGAAGCAGAGTCGAGGCACCATCTCTGTTGAGAGAAAGCTGTACAATTGTGCTTGCTCTCTTGTTGATCAAGACGTTCATATTCTTTCATAGCTAGAAGACTGAGCGTTCAAGGAGGCAACGTGGTTGAAAATGCCTGCAAGGTGAGAGAACAAGAGCAAGTAAAGGACCAAGAAGGCCAACCTTCGATTACCCAGGCATAATTGTTTTTGAACAACTGTTCTAAGGTTATGTTGCACGTGGGTAAAAGTAATAACCCATTATCGTATAAATATATTGTTCTTTCCACTGAATGCAAACATTTTTTTAAAAAATGGCAGGAGAATGCAATTCTTTTGAAGAGGAATGTTCTGATCTTATGCAAATGTTCTGGTCTCTTGATTATGTACTTTTCTAAGGCAGGAATCCATTGGGTTCATGGAAAAGGGGCATTTTCTATGGAAGCTCAAGCCAACTAAACGTTTAAAAATATCCTCTGTTCCCAAGGTGATGTCCTATAATACAGGGGTCCCCAATTCCCGGGCTCTACTGCCTGTTAGGAAGTGGGTTGTAGAAGTGAGGGAAGTTCCATATGCACATGCACACGAAACCACTCCCCTCCACCCTCACCAAGTCGGTAGAACATTTGTATCTTCCAGAAACGGATTGCTAATGTGAAAAAAGGTTTGGGGCTGCTGCTATAATACTTAAGGTTCTTTTTTTTTAATCTTTGGATTATTGTATGACTCTGAATATTTTCATCTGTGGACCATCCAAAATTGCTGGAGGTTGGGCAGTAGAATGGCATAGACCAATGCTTCTCAAATGTGGCTGCTTTTAAGTTGTGTGGTGGCCTCAGTCAGAATTCCCCACCCACCATGCTGGGAATGGAAGCCCATGCATCTTAAAAGTGGCCAAATTTGAGAAGCACTGGTCTATGGAGCCATCGTGTTGGCATAGTGCAGAGGTGTCCAAACTTGGCAAACTTTAAGACTTGTGGACTTCAACTCCAGCTATGCTGGCTGGAGAATTCTGGGAATTGAGGTCCACAAGTCTTAAAGTTGCCAAGTTTGGGAACCCCTGGCGTAGTGGTTAGAATGCAGTATTGTAGGCTAATTCTGCTGACTGCCAGCAGTTCGGTTCTCACCAACGCAAGGTTGACTCAGCCTTCCATCCTTCCAAGGTTGGTAAACTGAGGACCCAGATTGTTGGGGCCAATATGCTGACTCTGTAAACTACTTAGCGAGGGCTGTAAGTACTGTGAAGTGGTATGAAAGTCTAAGTGCTATTGCTATGGATTAAAATGGTGGAGTTTCAGAAACACGGCTCTAGACTCACCAGCCAAGAGAAATAGGGGGAAAGTGATCCATCCCAAGTAGAAAGACCATTCATAGGAGACCTGGATTTCAGGTGATGTCTCCTCCTTCCATGTTTCAGCTGTATACACAGCTAGGGCTATTAGAATGAAGAGTCCTTTCCGAAAAAGAAAAAAAAAGCAGAGAGAAGATCAGTGTTGGTTAACACAGCTCTGTGCTGATTCACCCATGAGGTTTTTATTTCCCCCTTTGGTTTATACATACATTGTGCAGGAAAAGTTTGTATTCTCTGGACACAAAGTGTTTAAGGCCCTGAATTCACGCACTGGCTGCATTTGCACGTCCCCCTTAGCCTGACTCAACCCATTTCCTGAGTTTGCATGCTCCACTGAATCACGGACTAACCCACGGGCTGAGAACTGAGAACTGCTGCTGAGTTTATACGCTAAGCCATATAGAACCGAGTTTTCAACTAAGTAAACTTAGAAGGTTGTGCAAATGCATTTCTAGCCTTTCCCTGATTCAATGTACAGTATTATATGAACTTAGCCATTGGATTAGAGCAGGGGTGGGCAAACTTTTTGGCTCGGGGGCCTCATTGACTTTTAAAATTTGACAGACGGGCCGGGTCAGCACAAGATACGATACATATAAAAAAACTGCAAAATCTCTGCAAAATCAAGTCACTGCGCCTAATGCGCTACCTGGTGTCGAAATGCCTGTCATTACAAGTCAAAATCAAATGAATGCAATCATTCAATCATTCACATCAAACCTTAATTCTGTACCAATCTTCGGCGGGCCGGATTAAAAAGACCAACGGGCCGGATGTGGCCCGCGGGCCGTAGTTTGCCCACTCCTGGATTAGAGTCATCCTTCTCTGAAAGCTCCTTTGTCTGTCTACTTTCATTTCTCAACTCCTGAAGATTTTTGAAAGGGATAAATCACGTTTGTGAAACCACTTCACCAGGTAGACATCCCAAAGAAGAGACAAGTCATCCTTGATATATGACCATTCATTTAGTGACTGTTCAAAGTTACAGCGGCTTTGAGAAGAAGTGGCTTCAGCCTTCAAACTTACAACCATTGGAGTGTCCTCATCATCACATGATCACGATTCAGACCACTAATATGAATTTTGACTGACAGTGGCTTGCTGACATTGGTGGGAAAGTCGGTCCCATATTCCAGAGCTGCAATTGTCACAAGACTGGCCCTTTGGTCATCCCGGAGCAGCTCCTCTAGTCCATGGCAGGCCGGTGCACCTGGGTGGAGGAGCAGCTGCTCCGGGATGACCAAAGGGCCAGTTCTGTGACTATTGCAGCTCTGGAATATGGAACCGACTTTCCCACCAATGTCAGGAAACCACCCCGGGGCGGATTTCTCTCCCTCATTGTTGGTCTTACCTTCCAGTTCCAGCTTGCGTGATTCTACTCAAGGTAAGGTTTGCGCTCAGCCGAAGGGAGGGGGCCAGCAGGTGGGCAGCACAGCCTTGGGTTTCTGCACAGCCTGGATTATTTGCTTTGGGGGTATGTGCTTTGGGGGACACATTTCTCTGCGTACCACCAAAATGTTCTTGTGGACCACCAATGGTCCCTGGCCCACTGGTTGGCGCCCACTGGATTAAAGGAATAGATGTCGCCCCTTAATGCAAGACATTTCCCAGAATGGTCAATCTCTGGAAAACCTTAGCAGGTGAAGTCCACCAAGCCTTTTACTAACATCCTCTAGGAACTTCCTAGTAATATCCTTGTTTCTGGAGGTTTCCTCTTAAGTTGCAGCTTTACAGAATTGCTTCTGGCTGTTTGGTATTTGGGGGCCATGATATTGGCTCGGTTACCAAAGGCTTCAACCGAGCGCTGCTTGTTTGAGAAGACAGTTGAAACCTTATTGAAAAATAACTTTAATCCTTCCCAGATCCCTCCCCGGAGAGTCTCTCTTTGAGATCACCCTCCCCATGAGTGGAGACTTCTGTTCATCTTTGGTAACACCTACCAGCCACGAAGGCAGTCACGGAAGCGATCAAGGGTTTGCCTAGGATGCCACACACGGAAGGCATGAAGGTGGCAATCAGGAAGAAGTGTAATGCCAGCGCCACCAGAGAAGCCATAATCAAAAACACACGGGTAGCTATGATGTAACCTGCAAGCAAAGTTATAGATGCAAAAGGTTATGTCTATTTTCAGTCCTTATTGAAGTAATATCTGTTTTGTTTATTTATTAGATTGTGCCCCAATACTGGTGGGTCTTACCCACTGAGAGCACATTACACCTGTGCTTTATGCCCTACCTGGGTTACAAGGTAAGCCTGATAACCCACTGTAACCATGCTGTCACATGACCACGGAAATGTACTTGAACAACGTGGCTCTGCTAGCTAAAAAATGGAGATGAGTACCGCGTCCTACAGTCAGACACGACTGGACAAGGGAAATCTTTATTTTTCTGGGTTACCAGGATATTTTCGATTACAACTCAAGAGTGTTGGTTTTGGTCTATAGAATTCTCTATGGCTTGGTGCCTAGGACTGTCTTCTCCCATCTGATTTGACCTCACCAGTACCACATTCTTCCTGCAAGAAGCCTTGGGTTATATTCATTTCTATGAAATAGGAAAGGGGTAACCAGAAGGTGGTGTTTTTTCGTCCCTGGTTTGGCCTTATGGAATAGCCTTTCTTAGAATTAAGATTAAACCAATTCCTTTTAACATTCCAGAAGTCTCTCCCCATTACTGCTATTATTATTACTGCATTTTAAAAATCCTGGATTAAAAATGGCTTCTTTCTATTTATCATTCAGCATGGATGTTTTTACTTGGTTTATGTTGTCAGTGTTGACTGCTTTGTAAACCGCTTTGAATCTCTCATTGATCTGGCAGTACATGAATGTGATCAATACAAGAACATGAAGCTATGCCAGTCTGCCATGCCGAGAAAGAGGTGTTTTGTTCAGTGAAGAGTTGGAGAGAAGCACCCAGCTGAGTCTGTCCAATGTTATCATCTTCCTCGCTATTTTTGAAACCGGTTGCATGTTTTAAGATGCGATTAATTGTGGTTTTTCCACAAAGTGATGTTTTCATTTATTTGGGGAGCAGAAGCAAAGCAAAAAATGTTTTAAACAAGGGGTATATTATTCAATGCACACAATAATGTAGGAGATGACCTGGCTGAGCCTGAGAGAGGGAGGATCAAATGTGCCATCAGTCATGAATCCTTTCACACCCACAAGAGATCTAAGTCCAGCCCACCACGAATTCCTTCTACCCTTATCTACCACCAATTTCCTTTGGTTGTTAGTAGTTCAGATTCTTGTAATAAAGTTTGCAATAAATCTTTATATCCATTTGAACTGTCTGGATCTCCTGATTTCTCTGGCGCCTGACAAAGACACAATACACACAAATGCTGATGCCCCTTATTGAAAATACTTAGAAAAAAAAAATTGAAGGCCTTCCTGCCATAAATCTTACCTAATGCATCATTTACAGCAAAGCATTTTCTTTCGGCTAACTCAGTGTTCATGCAGTACTGCCATAGCCCACTGTGGGACGTCCCAGCAGGAGCAAATGATACTTTCCAGTAATCGGTGCTGAGCGCCATCAAAAGTAAGCTGATACTCAAGGATGCCATCAGCACACTGAAGATACGGCAGCACAACATCCTGATGCAAAGGCAAAGGCGTTTCAACAGTCACTTTGCTTGTATTCCAACTTTTAGAAACCCTAGGGGGGAAAAAAACCCAACCAGATTAAATGGAGACAATTTATCCCCAGGAGACGGACATGGAACGGCATTAGAAGAACTATATGTGAGGGTGTTTATCTCTGTGTTTCACTATTTATTGTTCTGTTGTTGCAGGAGAGTGTGGTGAAGTCACTGGAGTGGATGGGATCAAGAGAATTCTTGAGGGTTTTCCTTTCCCCTGGTGGCACAGTGGTTAAAATGCAGTATTGCGGGCAAACTCTGCCCACAGGCTAGGGGCTCTAAGCCTACAATGCTATTGTAATTATTGTTTGATTTTGAAGACAAATTCTCACAACTTCTTCTATTAGATTCAAAGGAGGTTAGTTATAACCCTCAAATATTCCCAAGACTGGTTGAGTCTAAATTCCTTCCTTGGTTAGCCTAATTATCTAAACAATTTACCAGGAAGTTAATTTCCCCCTTTCCCTTGCAATATAGAAACAGAAACAAAACTCTATAAAGCCAAAAAAAAAAAAACAACCAACCCCAGACAGCCTCCCTCTAAAAGTAGCAGAAAAGATTTGAGTGGGTGCAACCTTTCAAATTCTGATTGTGGTGGCATCATTTCTGATCGCATCACTAGAATGCCATGCAAGCTAATGACTCATTATTGGAAGACAGGGAGGGAGGGAGCACTTACCCCTTTATCTCTCAGCTGTACCTTGCAGGATGAAACAGAATGAAAAAAGAGGTCAAATTGCTGAAAAATCACTATTTTGTTTGCAAATCCAAAGGTTTGATCCAATGCTGTTTTGGGATCTGCAAAACTGTAGTGTGCATGGGAGCATATAACCTGTGGACAGGATTCCCACCCTGCATTTGAAGATTGCACGAAATGGGATTGGGGAGAAAGTTCAGGCAGTATAAAGCTATTTGACATCTTTCTTCCATTTCTGTGCCATGCTACAGTGTCTCTTTTTCTTTCCCTGGATGTCCCATTGTGTTCCTTTCAGATAAGGCATGAATAAGATCCTGGGAAACAATCATTTCCTTCTTAATGTATAACCAGAATAACAGAGTAGGAAGGGACCTTTGGAAGCCTTCTAGTCCAATCCTTATCATAATTCCTCTTTTCTTTCAGAGTACAGTGTTTGTGACAATGATGGACATGAGAATTCACTTCCCCAGGGAGCATATTATAGAAGTGCTTCCAAGGTGCCACTTTCCATGGGGAAGGTTTTAGAAAGATCTGCAGCAGCAAATCATAAATGCAACAACTAACATTCTCACTTCAAAGGGGGATGAGATGCCGGTTGAATCTAGTGGTTACCTGAAGCCTTTTGCAGAGTCAACCCAGGAGCTCACTTCAAGCCACTTCCTGCATCCTTTTTACACACTTGAATGTCTCAGTGACCTCAGCAAAAGCTCAGTTTGAATGGGTGGGTTTAGAAGAAGGGGAGGGATGGGCTTTCTTCCGAAACCCCTCGTTATTTTTCCCCCAAAACTATTAGAGTTTCTTAAACTTTCTTAAACTCATTAACTTTATTTTTTATTTTATTTTTATTTATTTTGTCAAGCGATTATAAGATAACAGGTATAAGTATAAACGTAGTTATGAATACGTGAAATGGATATATATAAGAAAAATAAGAAACAATAGGACAGGGACGGTAGGCACATTGGTGAAATCATCTTGCTGTGGGTTTTAATTATTTCAGCTCATTATTTCTCTGCAAATTGAGCTTAAGGAAGTGGACCGATAAACTGGATATGATCATCTGGCATAAGGGCCTCAAAAGCCTTCTTGGGTAGTATTTTCGATTTATATGTTGCATTCCCAGGGAGGAGAGAGAAGAAACAGGAAAAATGGTGGCAACAGCTTTTTGAGAATGGTGGCAACAGCTCTTTTCTCACAAATGCCAATCATTCCATTACCCTCAGCAGACCGAGATGCAGAGTTAAGAAACGATAGAAACTGTATCTTTAGCTCAGTGTGAGAAATACTAACTTTAAGAATCCCCAAAGAAAAATGGGTTTTCTCGTTTGTAAGGAATTTAAATGAAGACCCTACGGGAGTTTGGTTTTGTGTGGGATCACCCCAGCAGCACTTAGGGGCCAGAATAAGCTCTTATTTCCAAGGGGGAACCCACCCTCCAAAAATATAAACCCGCTGAGAAAGGTCTCATGGTTTAACCACGTGTGCTGCAAAGCTAGAATATTAAATCTTCTCGGAGCTGCAATACTGTGGAAAAGAGAAGTTTCTCCTGACTGCTACTTGCCCTTTGCAGTTGAGATGAATGCGTTAGAGTTGGGCAGAAACATTTGTCAGTAACTCCCAAAGGATGCTTTTAAACTCTGGGTTATTCTCTTGTGTCCTAAGTTTTCTTTCTTTATGGACCTCCTCTGAAAAAAGTGAGAAAAAAACCAGGGGTATTTCCATCCTTACCTGAATCTTCTTGTAGAATGGTTCTTTCCTGGGACGATGATGATCTGAAGAATAGAGGCTGAAGGAAGCAGGTTTGGAAAGAGAACCTTTCAAATGCTGTAAGTGTAAAGACTGGAGAGCCAGAAAAGCCGAGATAGAATCTTGTCTGGATGCTTTAATGTCTCAAAGCTCACCTCTATATTTTTTTTTATCTTCGCCCACCCACTTCCTCTCCCTCGTTCGCACTTCTCTTCGGGTCTGGTTCTCTTCTTCACACTTCGCTTCTGAGTTTATGATGTGTTTGTGGCTTCATTTATTTTCATTCCTATTCTCTTAATCTGGAACTAACTTTGCATGCAATTACCTCTTGAGACCCTGGCCAACATGAAGTCAGGAGCAACTTGGCTACTTGTTTTTTCCTCAAGGTAAATGTTTCTCAAGTTTGGCAATTTGAAGATGAGTGGATTTCAATTCCCAGAATTTGATGGATGGATGGATGGATGGATGGATGGATGGATAGATAGATAGATAGATAGATAGATGATAGATAGATAGATAGATAGATAGATAGATAGATAGATAGATAGACAGACAGACAGATAGATAGATAGATAGATATGGATAGATAGATAGACAGATAGACAGATAAACAGATAGATAGATAGATAGATAGATAGATAGATAGATAGATAGATAGATAGATAGATAGATAGATAGATATGGATAGATAGATAGACAGATAGACAGATAGACAGATAGACAGATATAGACAGACAGACAGACAGACAGATAGATAGATAGATAGATAGATATGGATAGATAGATAGATAGATAGACAGATAGACAGATAGACAGACAGACAGACAGATAGATAGATAGATAGATAGATAGATAGATAGATAGATAGATAGATAGATAGATAGAAAGATAGAAAGATAGAAAGATAGATAGATATGGATAGATAGATAGATAGATAGATAGATAGATAGATAGATAGATAGATGATAGATAGATAGATAGATAGATAGATAGATATGGATAGACAGATAGACAGATAGACAGATAGACAGATAGACAGACAGACAGACAGACAGACAGACAGACAGATAGACAGATAGATAGATAGATAGATAGATAGATAGATAGATAGATAGATAGATAGATAGATATGGATAGATAGATAGATAGATAGATAGATAGATGATAAATAGGTATGTAGGTATGTAGGTAGATGATAGGTAGATAGATAGATAGATAGATAGATAGATAGATAGATAGATGATAGACAGACAGACAATAGTATATATGATAGATAGATGATAGACAGATATATATATATATACATATATGATATATGATAGATAGATAATAGATAGGCAGACAGATACTGTAGATAGATAAGAGATAGATGATAGATAGACAGACAGTAGACAGATGATAGATAGATAGATGATAGATAGATAGATAGATAGATAGATAGATAGATAGATAGATAGATAGATATCATTGATAGGTGACAGACAGGCAGGTAGGCAGGCAGGCAGGCAGGCAGAATAGGACTGAAACATTTGGAAATAAATATTTTATATTGGGGAAAACAGCATGCCAACCACAAGCAATTCAACATAGATTTGATATCATTAATAAACAGGAAAATGAAGTGTTTTTTTCCAGCGTCTTTGCAATCCTTAAGAGAGAGAGACACACACACACATTTCAGGCAGGCCATTTTGTGATTTCAGAATCTCGTGGGATTTCTTCAAAGCAATCCACCTTACGCCCTTGGGATCTGCATGTCCTTCTCTCCTTCCTCCCAGAAGAGAGAAGAGGAGGTGGAGGAGCTCCAGATGGAGGAGGTGACAGACTCTCTGCTTTCCTTGTCAGACAAAACAGCTCCGTGCATCAACATATGCTGGTGGGCCACAAGCCCTAGAAAACCTGCAGGCGGATAAAGAGGGGAGAGCAGAAGGCCATGAGAATGAATGAATGAATGAATGAATGAATGAATGAATGAATTCTTTATTGGCCAAGTGTGATTAGACACACAAGGAATTTGTCTTAGTGCAAATGCTGTCAGTGTACATAAAAGAAAAGATACACCCATCAAGAGTCAAGAATCATAAGGTACAACACTTAATGATAGTCATAGGGTACCATAAGCAATCAAATCATACAAGGAAACAGTCAATATAAATCATAAAGATACAAGCGACAAAGTTACAGTCATACAGTCACAAGTGGGAGGGGATGGGTGATAAGGAGGGATGAGAAGATTAATAGTAATAGTAGTGCAGACTTTGTAAATAGTTGGACAGTGTTGAGGGAATTATTTGTTTAGCAGAGTGATGGCGTTTGGGGAAAAAACTGTTCTTGTGTCTAGTTGTTCTGGTGTGCAGGGCTCTGTAGCGTTGTTTTAACACCCACTGAATCATTTTCTGGACCTTCTAAATGGGTTATGTTTACAAGTAGTCCTTGACTTCCAACAGCTTATTTAGTGACCGTTCAAAGTTACAATGGCATTGAAAAAAGTGACATAGGACCGTTTCTCACACCACCGTTGGGACCTCCCTGTGGTCACATGATCAAAATTCAGACTCAAACATTTATGACCATTGCAATGTCCCCCAGGGTCACTATTTGACCCCCTTTCGCAACCTTCTGACAAGCCAAGTCAGTGGGGCAGCCAGATTCAACTTATCAACTATGTGACTAACTTAAAACTACTTCAGTGATTCACTTAACAACTGTGGCAAGAAATGTCATAAAATGGGGCAAAACTCGCCTAACAACAGAAATTTGAAGCTCAGTTGCAGCGGTAAGTCAAGGACTGCTTGTTTGTGCAAGGGGAAAGAATATTTATTTATTTTTCTCTTGCCATTTTTATTAAAGGAATTTTTAACAAGATAAAAGCAATGCAAATATTAGAAAAGAAACAAAGGATGCAAAGCAAGAGAGGGAAAGAGAAAGAAGAAGCTTAACATAACATGACATGATATGGAGCATCTCATAAGATGGCTGCCCACCTTCCACTGAGAGAACCCTGTACTTCCCCAGTTAAGAAATTGATCCTAAAATTGCATGACCACCTCACCAAAACCCACCCTCTTAAAAACCCACAAATGATATTCTTCCATCTCACCGCTTAAAATAAGGAAGGGACAAGTGGTCCAGGCCAGATAGAAAGGCCACTGATAGGAGACGGCAGATGTTCTGCTGATGCCGTGTGTGGAGATCCGGATGGTGTAAATGCTTAGGCCGAGGAACACCAAGGCAGCTGTGGAAGCACAGGTAGATGATCAGCTGGATTCCTTTGAGATGCTTGTTGAATCTTTTTTAGATGCTTGTTTTTATATTTGAAAACAAGGTTATCTGAGTAACCTTCTGACCTCCTTGGGATTGGCCCGTCCCACCCTCATAGGCAGAAGGGGCACACTGTGGACATTGGTCCAGGAATTCTAGCTGGGGGGGACTCTGAGGGAGAGAAGGAACAGCTCACAGGGAGTGGAGGTGTGGCTCCGGAGGTTGTGGAGGAGGCTGGGGAAGGGCTGAGGCTGGCTGGGCAGTCAGAGGAAGAACCAGGCCCATCCCCTCTGCATCCTAGGACATGCAGGGAGGAACGGAGAAGGCAACAACTTGGCTTGCGAGAGAGGAAGCGGCCATGATCTCCCTCATTGGTTGCAGCTGGGGAGAATAAGATATAAGAGAGACAATTAAAACACAGGTTGCCAGAAGCAAGCATGTTTTATTTTGGGCTGAAGTTATCTTGGTTGGCGTCCTTCCAACAGACTGTGCCTATCTCCTTGAATTTGGTAAATACTTCTCCTGTTCCGTTATGGAAATTTTGTAGTTTGTTTGGTTTTTTATTTCATCTCTATCTGCTGATTAATTTTGGACTGTATTGCTTTCTTTTGAAGACTATTTTTGAGTACATTTTATCTCCAACTGAGTATTATTGAACAGTGGGGCCAAGTTGGAGGCAATAAAGGACATTTATTTATGTTTTGGATTTTTTTACGTTTGTGTTACACTCTGAGTCATCACAGGGTGAAAGAGAATAGCATTTTCTGCCATGCAGTGGCGGTTCTGTGGGCGTGGCTTGGTGGGGGTGGCGTGGCTTGGTGGGCATGGCGAGGGAAGGTTGCTGCACTCCCTCTCCACCCCACTAACCTGATTTCCAGCTCCGTTCTCCTGTGCAGGGCAACCAAAGAAGACCCAGCCGATCAGCTGGGACTTGGGAGGCAGAGAATAGATGGGGGCCGGGCCAGTCAGGGGTGGTATTTGCCGGTTCTCTGAACTACTCAAAGTTTCCGCTACTGGTTCTCCAGAACTGGTCAGAACCTGATGAATACCACCTCTGCTGCCATGGCTCCTGACCTCTGGAACATTGTCCCTCTGGGGTGAGATTCTCCCTGATCTTCTCAGCCTTCTGAAGCACGCTGAAGACCTGACTCTTCCAGTTGGCCTGGGGTGCCAATGGAGGTTTTCATACTGGAGTAGTTAACAAATTGAGATAAGACCCCCACCTTCCCCTGTGTGCATTTTGCTCCCTTCCTTGTCATCCTTGTTCATTTTTAAGGCAATTTTAGTATTAATGTTCATTGTCTTAATGCTTTATCTTGTTTTTATTGGTTGTAGCATATATGTTTAAGTCAGTCAGTCAGTCAGTCGGTCAGTCAGTCAGTCAGTACCAGTAGTCAACTCTGAAGCGAACCTAGCTGGGGCCATTTTGGAGGTTTCAGGGTTGCCACAGTGTGAAGAAGGGATAGGGAGGGGGAGAGAACACTGTTAGATGAGGGTTTGTAGCCAAAACAAAATTGTTTCCTGTGGGAACCAAGGTCATTCCAACAGGTGGCTGGAAGGAGGAGGAGCACTGTATCCAGGCAACCAGCCAGCACCTTGATTGGACAATGTGACTGATTGGGGAAAGGGGAAACTTTTCACTTTTAATCAGGTGAAAACCACGGGAACTTTCAGAGTCTGTTTTCACCAGTTTGTGCCAATAGGATATCTCCAATAAAACTGTTCTTTGAGGAACCTGTCTGCCTCAGAGTTATTCTTTCTATGGAGTTATTACTTGGAACCCTGAAGTAAGTAAGTAAGTAAGTAAGTAAGTAAGTAAGTAAGTAAGTAAGTATATTTTTAGTAAAATATACCATAAATTTTTACCTGCAATGAAAGATCCCACAGCAGGCACCAGATACCGGTATGTGGCAGAAGTGGTGGTGTAACGATAAGTGATGCTCATAAATGAAGCCCCAACGAATCCACAGAAAAGGGCCATTATCAGGAGGGTCTTGGCACCATTGACATTGGCTGTGGTAGTAATGACAATAAAATAAAAGACCACTTGTTAGAAGCTTTGAGAGCAGGGCTGTTCTCTGTATGTGCATACATGTTTATACACATCTTTCCAAATCTGAATTATGCATCAATCAAAAATGGCTGGACTGTAACAGATCACTTTATAAGTCCATATCAGAAACCTTCTCTAGCCTTCCAAGATCCCGTATCTAAGGTATCAGAAGCAATTATTGACATATATTAGGCTCTTTCAAATTAGTCACCCTTTTACGCACTCACCAAGGAACGTGGGCAGATGTGCATTTGAGATACCCAAAATGTAACTGCTAGAATGTTCTGGAAAACCTAGTAGAGATTTATTCATTTATTTATTCAATTCCTGTAGCCGCTCTCAAATCAAGTGAGTGGTGAACAATCATAAAACAATACCATAGACTTAAATAAATACGGCAGCTGAGAAAAAAAGTATCACCATGAATAAATACAGCCAGGAAACAGGTCCTTTGCTATATGATGAGAGTCCCAGGCCAAGACACAAAGTCAGGATTTCAAGGCCTTGTGAAAGGGCAAGAGGGTTGGGCTCCTTCTCAATTCTGAAAGGAGAATGTTCCAGAAGGAAGGGACTATAGTAGAGAAGGCACCTCGCTTAGTCTCCACCAGCCAACTTTGTTTGATTGATGAGATTCATTCATACCGGTTCTGTGGGCGTGGCTTGATGGGCATGGTGTTGCTTGGTGGGTGTGGCAGGGGAAAGGCTACTGTAAAATCTCCATTCTCTCCCCACCCCACTAACCTGCTTTCCAGTTCTGTTCTCCTGTGCAGGGCAACCAAAGAAGACCCAGCCGATCAGCTGGGACTCAGGAGGCAGAGAATAGATGGGGGCGGGGCCAGTCAGAGGTGGTATTCCGAACTACTCAGAATTTCCGCTACCGGTTCTCCAGAACTGGTCAGAATCTAGTGAATACCACCTCTGATCTGCTACCCTTGCACATATATTTTGTACCAGTTGAAGCAAGGTAATTTAGAGGTGCTCTGTAAGCAGACATAGAAGAGTTTTAGAAGGTACGGTGGAAGAACCCAACAAGGTTAAATAGCCACTGTGGGATGACTCTTGACTCAACCTTGAGAGAAGGAGTTCTGGAGAAAGGCCCCGTCCCCACAATGCTTGGGAAGCAAAGGTTGTGGATTCTCTTACGTGCAGAAGCAACAAGATCAGGGCACACCAGCGCTAGACAGACTTTCCAAAGGCCGCTGTAGTAAATCTGCACCTCAGTCTCAACTTTGATCCATTGATGGTCCATGATCACAAAAACGAGACTAAAGAGAGTGCTGAGGGTGAACCCTGTAGCCATTCTTTCACTCCACGACATGGCTGAATTGAAGAAAACTGAGGCTTTTCTTCATGCAGATATCTTCTTCTTAAGGGAATCTCTTCACACCCAACCCACATATATGGAGAAACCATGAGTTTCCAGGCAGACACTGGCTCAGAATCTGCCCTTTATTCCTTGGAATGATGAGCAAATCAGCATTCTGCGCCATTAAACCTCTCATGCGCACCCCATTCCGGGTTCCACCACTTGCTTCTTGGTTAACGTGGCTGCCATTGGACATTCCATCAAAGGAACGTTTTCAGCCGGCAGGTGTGGTAAAGCTGAGATGGAATTTGTTCTTTGGTTTTCTTCTTCAAAGGAGAGTTTTCCTATTATTTTCACAAGCTACTTTTGAATTTATTTTATTGAAGCAGAGTGATCAAAGCACTGTGGTTTATAGGCCCTGGAGGTGGTGGCCTAGAGGTGAAGAGACTCGCTTCCCACTCAGAAGGTTGAGAATTCAATCCTAGGTAGCTGCAGATGTTTCTCTAGGTAAAGGTTCCCCTTGCACATGCGTGCTAGTCGTTGCCAACTCTAGGGGACGGTGCTCATCTCCATTTCTAAGCCAAAGAGCCTGCACTGTCTGAAGACGTCTCCGTGGTCATGTGGCCAGCATGACTAAACGCCCGAAGGTGTATGGAATGCTGTTATCTTCCCACCAAAGTGGTCCCTATTTTTCTACTTGCATTTTTACATGCTTTCGAACTGCTAGGTTGGCAGAAGCTGTGACAAGTAATGGGAGCTCACTTCATTATGTGGTGCTAGGGATTCGAACTGCCGAACTGCCGACCTTTCTCCATCGACAAGCTCAGTGTCTTAGCCACTGAGCCACCGTATCCCTTTCTCTATCTATGTTTCTCTATCAGGACGCAAACGAGAAAATATCTGCTGCAAACTCCACAGAGATGACAGGAAGGGCATCCAGCCAGTAAACGCTTTGCTCCATTCAGTCACCATAATTCCACCCCCAAATAAATGGATTAAAGGGTCGTAAAAAAGAAAAGAAAAGTACAAGTTCTGTAGGACTGTAGAATGTATTTCCTTTGCCATTATCCTTCTTATATATCTCTCTCTCCTTTGTGCTGCTTCCTCAGCTTCCATTTTAAGATTGCAAATAAGAAAGTTATAACTTGGGGACTTAACATCTAAAGGAGTTTGGGATCTTCAGCTTGGAGGAAGAACAAAAAGCAACTCCTGGCTCCTTCAAATATTTGAAACAAAGTCATCAACAGATGATGGAGCAAATACTATTTTCTACTTGTTCCAGTAGGTAGGGTCAGGGGTGGGATTCAAAACTCCAGCAACCAGTTCACTGCCTGGTTGCTGGGTGGGTGTGGCCATGGTGTGGGTGTGGCCTATAGGAACTTCCAGTACGGCCATTTTTCACCTTCCCCAAGGTCCGGAGGCTTCCCTTGGGCCTTTGGGAGGGCGAAAAAGGCCTCCCCCGGGCTCCAGCGGGTCACGGGAAGCCGGAAACAGGCCCATCTGGAACTTCCGGTTTGGCCTGGTTTTGGCCTTCCCAGAGCCTCTGCGCGGACCCTAAACTTACCTGCATCCAAAACAGGCCATGTGGAGACTCCGGGGGGGGGGGGGAGGGGGGGGAGGGGGGGGGGGGGGGGGGTCAGGCAGTTGGTTCAACTATCGGTTCGGCGAACCAGATGTAAATTGAACAACTGGATGTTAAATTGGCCCAAACTTAAGGAGGAGAATTTTAAATAAACAGGAACAACACACTTAAGCCATTTGGGTGATAGGCTCCTTCTGGTTTAAATGAGGGGCCTTCCTTCCTTCCTTCCTTCCTTCCTTCCTTCCTTCCTTCCTCCCTCCCTCCCTCCCTCCCTCTTTCTCTCCTCCCTCTCTCCCTTCCTTCTTTATTTGAAAGCAAGGAAACACTTTCCCCTTACATAGAGAGTAGCACGAGCAAAGGAACACCAAAACGTGAGATATTAAAATTGTGTGAAGTATATGAATCAGTCAAATAATAAAAAATATCAGTGCTGCATTTGGATACCTTACATTTTTATATGTTTCCTTGCGTGTGTGTGTATGTGTAGGGAGGAGTTTTTATTTCAGAACGAAAGTACATGAGCTTAAGATTCTTCAATGTGAACTTACTGCAACGAAAAAAAAGTCGGAAGTCACTGTATTTTATTATTGTTTTTAACTCCAACCCCCCTTCCTTCACTTTATCTCCTCTATTCCCTTTCCTTTCCCCTTCCCCCATTGTCTTTAGTTCTATTTTATATTTCTTCAGTGTTCATTGGTAAGTGCTGGTGCCAGTTGCACTCTCGGTGCCGTGTATCCAGGTTTAGGTGAATCTTACGTTGTCTCACCCAAATTCTTCCTGTTCTGGATGTAAACATCGTTGGTAGAGTCTTCCTCAAATACTATCAGCATGAAAATGAGCGCTGGGAGGAAATTGAGAAAACTCAAGCTGTTGGTATAAATGGAGTACAATCACTCTGCAGCAACATTGTGTTTCAATACGTACACAGTCACCTCTATAATTAAATAAATAATTCCCTCAACACTGTCAAACTACTTACTAAGTCTGCATTACTATTATTGTTACTATTAATCCTCCCATCCTTCCTTTCACCCATCTCCTCCCACTTATTACTGTATGACTGTAACCTTGTTGCTTGTATCCTAATGATTTTTTAGTGACTGTTTCTTAGTATGATTTGATTACTTATTATACCCTATGACTATTATTAAGTGTTGTAACTTATGATTCTTGACTCTTGACGAATGTATCTTTTCTTTTATGTACACTGGGAGCATATGCACCAAGACAAATTCCTTGTGTGTCTAATCACATTTGGCCAATAAATAATTCTATTCTATTCTATTCTATTCTATTCTATTCTATTCTATTCTATTCTATTCTATTCTATTCTATTCTATTCCATTCCACTCCACTCCACTCCACTCCACTCCACTCCACTTCACACCACTCTCTACTCTACTCTACTCTACTCTACTCTACTCTACTCTACTCTACT